AGAATCCCTAACGGCAGATTCAAATGTGCAGCGATCCCATCTGTCAAAACTAGAAATACTCAAGGCCGGCGCACAATGGATACGTTTTCAGGTTTTTTGACAGTTAGCCCATGCATTATCTGTCAAAAAACCCGAAAACGTATGCATTGTGCGCCGGCATTCAGAGGGAGAGATAGGTGGAGAAAACAAAATACAATTCGGCAGCAGGGATTTGTACCTAAATTATCTTGCAACCCGAGCTAAAAGCTAGCAGTTCACATGACTTTTATTTTTGATTCGATGTACGTGCAAAATAATAATTGATTGCATCACAATATTTTGCACATTTCTTAACCAACGAATTAATTTATTTGGCCATTAATAAACCAACGAAGATAAATTAAGAAAAAATAGAATTAGAATATTGTTTTTGATTCCAAATATTAGTTTAATTTGAGAAGCACACGAAACATAAAGGTGATTGAATTTCTGTTCGATTGCAATACTCTCAAATTTAATCTAGTAAGAATAAGAAATCCTCGGAAAAATTCTAATATGAATGTTCGATTGGCTCATATTTTGACAGTTCATTTGGCCCAAAATATTTTCTCCGCCCATCTCTCCCTTGGAGTATTTCTAGTCAAAACTAGAAATACTCAGAGGGAGAGATAGGCGGAGAAAACAAAATACAATTCGGCAGCAGGGATTTGTTCCTAAATTATCTTGCAACCTTGCTAGAAGTTAGTATTTCATATGACTTTAATTTTTGATTCGATTTACATGCAAAATAATAATTCCCTGGGCTTTGGCAAAACCTTGAGGTAGTTTAATTAGGCTACCAGGTCCCAGGGCTGATCTGGATCTTTACCACATTGGAAAGATGCACACTAGTGTTGCCAGATCAGTGTTGATACTTACCAAAAGTGCATTTGAACCCGCTTATAAAGCATATTAACAGATTAATCATCATCGTACATTGTTTATTGCTCTGTACTAATAATAAATGATTAAGTACAGCGTTTGATATTTTAGTAGGAATGCTGAATTTAGTCGCAGTAGAAATCAATCCTTTATTGAATTAGATTTATTTCTATGGATATGCACGTTTGGAAAGTATCATCACAAAGATTCTGCACTCGGTCTACAGCTTATGGGCGGGAAGCGTTGTTTTTGTTTTTGTTTTTTTTTTTATCTATTTATAGAGTCAATTCTTAGAAATACGAAGCGAAAGACAAATCAAGCATTAAGCACAAGACCTTCAAGAAAACTAACAACACGAAGTCTCGAAATGGCAATGTTTTATTCAAAATGTCAAATATTTCAAGAATATCGGGTGAGACCAATCGGACTGAGCGCTCTTTCGGTCATCTGGAAGGGTTGTGCACGAGGAGCGATTTAAATCCCCCCAGTTTTGAAGACATTCCGGAGCGAGGATCCATTATCCAGAAACACAATACAACAAGAGAAGGAAGTAGTATTGAAGGTAAACAAGGAGTACATGGGAACGTCGAAAACTGTAAGTATACTCCGATCTATTCTAGTACTCTTGTAAACCGGCTAGATAGTAGTCGTCGTCACCGGGAAGCATAGTCATGTGAAGATTGCCAGATCCGTGACCACTCATGATAAGGCACACAAGGCTCTCAACATTAAATACATTGCACGGGTTGGGTCGCACAGAGGGTTGATTAGATGTAAATTCCTTTGAAACACCCGCATAAACGATAACCATAAGGAGTGCCTAACAACCTATTCGGGTTATCATCCCAACAATATGTGGTACGGTGGCACGATTTGTGGTATCGTTCATGTATGGTGCTCCCCACCCTTTATTAGGGTCGCTGACGCTCATTGCACGCTCTTTCGTTCTCCGGCTGATTGAATGGATGACGGAGTTTGACGTCACACTCCTTCAGACGTTTAGGCGGCGGGAGGGCGAGAGGGATGGTTGTTCAGTACACGGAGACAATTTTACAAATGTATTTCTAATAGGTAAATCACAGTTTAAAACTCACTAATAATCTCTTTCAATCTCTTTTAATTTCTTTTTCATTGACGGTGTGATGTAATCAATGCGCTCTGTGACGAGAGCGTAAACCAAACGAGGCCATTTTTCAACGATACGATAATAACTTATGCGCTTTTCACACAAAACCTACCCAACCCTTTCCTTTCTACAATCCCTGAGCAGCTGGTTTAGCATAAGTATACCTCGCAGAACTTTTTTAACCCCCATGGGTAAAGATGCTGTGTTGCTCACTCCTCTCCCCTTCCCTGGTGTATTATGGATGGTGTGAATATTCACATCGGTGACATGGCCCCTGACCCCCTTGTACATCATAAAATGAAATAAAATGAAAATGAAAAATTTACATGCAAAATAATAATTGATTGCATCGCAATATTTTGCACATTTCTTGTTGCCATTCATTAACCAACGAAGATCAATTAATCAATAGAGTTAGAATATTGCTTTTGGTTCCAAAAACTAGTTGAATTTGAGAAGCACATAAAACATAAAGGTGATTGAATTTCTGTTCGATTGCAATACTCTCAAATTTATTCTAGTAAGAATAAGAAATCCACGACACGAACCAACTCATAAATAATGTTGTACGCGTGTTCGTGGCTAGGAAAAATATGTTTCGCGAACACGGCGGCAGATGTCAGTTTTGTGCTTTGCTCAAAAATTTCTTTGTAAATTGTTGGAAAAAGAAATTGCTTAACGACGTGTTCGGGGTATAATCTAAACCGTTTGTGGGATAGTTTACCCATCCGGGATACAGTTCGTTTATGGTATTTGTTTATTAGGGGGTGCTTCGAATTCCAATCCTGTTACCATTTCCTTCAGTCGCTTCTTCCACTGGCAGAGAGATGCCCCTTACACCGATGCCTCAGTTCGTATCTGTCATATTGGATCAAATCACAACGGGCTTCTTCATTTCGGACAGCTTGTAGAGACCATCTACTTCACGACTAATTGCAACTACTTCGTTATCGGGATTGACAACTTTGCACTCCTCCTTTGTGAACATTACTTTGAACCATTGCTCTGTTATACCTTGCTCACGGAAAGTAAATTAATCGCAGGCCAGGCACGTACAGAACATTATTCACACACATCCTGTAGATTTTCTAACATGCCCTTGTTCCGACTCAAGTGAGTTGTTCCGCCAGAATCAAAGAACCAACCATTATCTCTCCGCTCAAACGACTGCACAGCAATGGTAACGAAGAAAGCTGCATTTCCTTTTTGGGTACCACACTGCTCTTTCTTTTTCTTACTCATTTCCTTCTGGCATTCCGACGTAAAATGTCCAAACTTCTTACAACGGAAACACTTCACGCTGGGCTTGTCGACTTGCTTCCTTAACGCATCCTGCTTGCTAAAGAATGCACCCTCGCTTTCAGATGATTTTGAACCGTCCACCATCTTGACTTCCTGCATCATTTTTGCCTTAACCATATCCGCTGTTAGAACTACTCCGGAAGAGGCCAGATCCATGATCATTGGATCGTGTTTCTTCGCTAAACCCTTGAGCAGCAAACTACACATCCAGGCATCATCCACCTTGAAGCCCACCTCTGCATTGGTTACATGTCAACATGATTTCGTTTACGTACTATTGAGGGGAATTGCAACTGCCACCATCGTCCCGCTCCGCTTCTACCAATCTAATGTCTGTTAACTTCCATAGAAGACCAATCCTTCGAATTGAACCACTGCACCAAGCACTGATCCTTGTACAGACAGATGGTTGCCAGTGCTTGTTCTGATAATTCTTCGCTTACTTCCGGATCCCCTTCATTGCGTACCTTCACGGCACACCAGGTCCGCTCCTTGATGAGGAATTGTAATTTTCTGATCCACGAAGAACTTCTCTTGCTTGCAGCGATACCATGCCTCCAGAGAATTTCGTTCCGCCAGCTTGCGCTCCGGCATTTCTGCCATCACCAATATTTGGAATGGACATCTTGCAATTCCAGAACCTTTTCGATTTTCAATATAAATTTTCTTCAAACAGAGCCGCTTCTATAGCAACTATTATAGTGCCCAAACCTCTTCCGAGGCGTACCTTCTTTTATCAGGTTATGGGCCCAGATATTATATCTGGGTCCATACCCTGATAAAAGAAGGTACGCCTCGGAAGAGGTTTGGGCATGGCTTAAACTATCTGACTCCATTCCAATCATTTCAAGAACATATTTTCAAATACACATGAGTGCTTTTGTAAAAAAAAAATTGGCTTTAAACGTCTGCTTATCGCCCACGCAAACTGATACCACCATCGTGTAAGGGAAATTTATCCAGTGCTACTTTTATGCAGGTCTGCAGTCACTGGTTTTTTGATCTGCACACGACAAGTCTTGGTTTAGAAATTTACGGCGATAATATGGTTTTGCAAAACGAGTTATTGCTTGGGATAATTTACGCCATTTTTTAGAAACTTCGATGAATTCATGGGAACAATGGCATCAGTAAAAGAATGCTGTGCTGTGAACCCGTAGCTGTTGAGAGTTTTTTGATAGCAACTTATTGTTACGGTTCTTGTTCATTGTTTGAAGTTCGTTCGCTTTTCCTGTTACTCCGTTAAAAGCAAACAACTAGTGAAGATATCGGTGGAAATAAAACTATATTGTCCCATCCATAAGAGCCCATGGAGAAAACTAACTTCCGATGTCAGCGTTTTTCTCAACCTGCTGTTTTAACGAATGGGACAACTATGCTGAAAAGGGCAGTATATATGGATGTAAAAAAGGAGGTTCCCAACTCCCTGCATTTCCACAATCAATAGAGGAACATATTCTACCAAGGATAGTGGACTATACCGAAAACGAGCGGATAAAGGACGAAGAGAAGGCGCAGTGGCTGGCGTTGCAGAAGGAAAAACAATTGACAGAGCAAGAGAGTTATGGTTCTCGGCTCCGTGAAGTCCTATTGGACATTTGAGCCAAACAAATAAAATATTATTTTAAAAAAGACCCCAGAAATGACAAAAACTAGCCTTCCCAATACTCACCCAACGTATCCTTCACCCGGGTGAACAATCCGGGATTCCGCTTCTGTTCGGCGCTGACCGAACGAACCGTTTTGAATCCTCGCTGCTGAACCCAGGCCATATTGTGGCTACTGTGCTGGGTGAGCAAGCTCCGCACAATTTGCTGTACCGTTTGCCCATTGAAGAAGACCGTCTCCTGCTGTCCCGGATCCCTGCCCTTACGCGCCTTGGGCGTAAGACTTATGCTCCAGGGAACGTTCTCGCGGCCACTGGTCGTCACCCGGATGCTGCTGAAGTGCTTCAGCAAGCTACGCTCAATCCTACGAGGTAGTTTCAGCTCGAACAATTCCGCAGCATTTGGTTTCGGTGCAACACTACTGGCGGCGGTCGCCGTCGTCGTCGTCGTCGGGTGCTGTTCGATCGATTGCCGGAAGCTATCGGTATAGAACTGCACCAACGATTGCTTGAACCGCGGCAGGAAGGGATCCTGCTGAGCTAGGTAGGAAGCTTCCTTTCCCTGCTGCTGTTGATTGGGAGCATGTTGTCTGTGTTGCTTCTTGAACGCGATATTACTATGGCGTGGAGTGATTTGCGAGAGATGAAAGAGCAGTTGCTGTGAAAGGAACGAAAACAAAAGGCGAAAAAGCGTTTCTTTAGCGAGTGATGCAAATAGCCACTTGACTGATGATGTCCTTCCAATGACAATTTGTGAAATTCGCTGTCTGCCATCATCATTCTGCGCCGATGGTGACGACTTTCTCACTGCTGCTGGCTGATACTTACGTGCTGATGTGTGTTTACTGTGAACATTCTGGATCCTCTCCGGCGGCACTGGGTTCCGGGGGTTTTAGTGCTAAAAAGTAACAACTAATATCGAGGGAATGCGACCCAATTTACGGTATTTTCCACTATTTTTTCTGAGCCTCTCGCAAAAATCACTATCACTTTTGTACCTTGCACGTCTTCTTCGTCTTATCGTGGTCACTCGATCGCTGCATCAGCTCCGTCGTCAAGCTGTTGTGTAATTTTGGTAATTTTGACGTTTCCCGTGACGTTCTCCCTCTTGTGGAACTAGAGTGGATTCCGTGTGGCGTGAACCATTTCGGTTTTAATTTATTGTTGATTTTTCGGTTAATTTTCATTAATAAATGAATTCATTAATTCATTTTCTGGAGACTTTTATTTTATCATAGGTCGAAATGGGCCGAAGAGTCTAAAAATTTTATGAAATTTTGACACGGGCAGAGTTTATGGTCATATGAACGAAAAAAATGCGGGGTTATGCCTTGGGTGATCCGGAAAATTTTAGTTAAAGTTTTTAGATTTTCCCTGCATCACACGGAGAACAAATTCGTTAAGTTAAGATAACAATCCTAATAGTTACTTTCACATGGAAAAATATTGTTGTTTGAAAGAAACCTATAGATATTCCAACATTAATTTGACCGTCAACTCAATCATATCTACCTAATAGATTCAACTGTTCATCTTATACTCAATTCAACTATAACTTTGATCAATTATAACAACCGTCAAATGTAATTTAATTGTATAATTTGGTTTCAAAAGATCATCATAAATCAACATACTTTTAACTTGTGATGCGTAGAGCAGGCGATAAGATAGCTGGCTCTCACGCAGATGAACACGGTTCAAATCTTAGTTGAATGTTCTTGATCACCTTTTTTATGATTTTACAGTTGTGTTTTTGAGGTCGATAAAGAAGCAAAACAAACTTCCTTAATATGTCGATAATGAAGAGCAGTTCGTTTAATAAACATTGTAAAATTTTGCTTCCCTAACAATAGTTTTCTTGAATCAACTAAAGCATAGTTGTATTTTGAAGTTTGACGTTTGTTCATCTACTGAAAAATATAGTTGAACCAATCGAGGAGCCAACTATAAACTATAGTTGTTGCCCTCTATATATAGTCAAATCAACTATAGTTTCGGGTTATCTCTAAAACAATTGAACAATATAGTTATTTTGACCGGAAAAATAATTGCGCCTGCTATAATTTGTTCTCCGTGCACGTACTTTCATAAATAACTAATGAACCAAACATCGTAGAAGATAGAACGTTGTGTAGTGAATTATGATAAAGAAATTATCTCAGCAATTCCTGCAGCAATCTTAGAGCAATCTATACACGGATAGAAATATCCTTATACCTTTTGGCAAATTTCTATTGCTGATTATTCATAAAATGTATAAGTCAAGTAATAAACAGACGCCTTGCAAAAAGATAATGAAGACCATGTGTCAAATGAAATGTATAAGCGGTCACACATACCTTTTATGCATTCTTATAGGACCTATGTGGTTTGTCTTATGGAATGTATAAGGCTGATGCTTTGGCAAAAATATATAAGTGAAACACATGGATAAAATAATTGATTTTCGTTTCGTGTATAAAAAATATATTCTGAAAAATGTTTTCCACGAAAATGTTTACGGTGGAGTAAAATCGCAAGGCAAATTAGAAGAAGAAAATACATTTTTTTCCTTTCATTTGTTTTTCGTCAATCTTGTTTTCCGTGCTGAGCACCAATGCCACCGACGCCAGGAAGGCAGCTCCCACACCTGGACCCTACACAGCAAAAAAAAATGTAATATCGATCAATGTAATTCAAGCTGATGTATGAAATAATGATGTAATAGCAAAAAGCAGATACAATATTACATCAATGGATGTAATTTTGTTCGCAAAATCGATGTACATCGTACAACGTTATATTACACAACCGATGGATTAACCTGGTTGCAGCAGTTTGGATGTAATATTCAACAACTTTTTTTTCTGTGTACCTATCGACCCATCAAACTCATGAACCGGGGACCAACCAACCGAAGGAAAGCGTGATCAGATGCCTCAGAATATCCCGGTGGCGCCGACTGGGATTGAACCCAGGCCTGCTGGGGTGAGAGGTAATCACGCTTACCACTACACCACCGGCACCGCTAAGAAAATACATTGTCAGGGTAATGAAATTTTTTCTAATGAATGTTTGCCAAGAACAATCAAAATCTCCTTCACATGTAGACTGCTGTTATAGCCATGATTGGATTGTCAAAGGCCCTAAATCCTGATGTGATCCAATAATTGGAAATAGCACCATTAAATCACATAAACTTTATGTGTCCAATGAAATCAATATGATTATTCACATAGAATTTATTCTGATATGTGATATTCAGATAAAAATCATTAATTTTGTTATTGTACAAATATTATGTGCATTCCTAATAGAAGCTAAGTGAAAAAAATATCAGTTTAGTTTTCTACCCAAAAGTAAGTTAGTTGTACCCAAAAGTACGTAGATACACGCAGAAAAAATGATTTTGTTTCAGGGCCTAATGTATTTTGATATTGATTCAAACATATTGTATCACTATTTCAACAAAACATATTTCAAAATCAACAAAATTGTTTTTAGAATCAACAAACAGACTCTACAGCCGTTTTGTTGTTTAAAAAAATCTTTGAATTAACCGAATAATATATTTGAATCAATACCAAAAATATATTAGGCCCTGAGCCAAAAATATATCCATTTGAATTTAGAAAATCATTTCTCTGCTTGTATGATTATACTCAACGTTGAGTTCCCACACTTTACTATCCCTGTTGGATGGTTTTGCTCCTCCATTTTTGACAACATTAGAAGGAGAGAAGCAGTCAAAATTAAAAGTGAACTTGGCCATTGGGGCATTTTCTTACCGTGTAGATTATGGACATGGTCAACCTCTACTGTATATTATGTGGATCATATGTTGCTTTTGTTTATGCGAACCGAACAGACGGAATCAAAACAAAATTTCATAAAACAGTGCTAATGAATTCCTTGAAACATCCATCCTATTGGATCGTGAGCGGTCTAAGCCATCCACAAGGACAACACAAAGAAAAAACATCCATCCAAAGAACGCAACACAAAAAATTCTTGAATTTGAACATTTCCAACAAACCTTACACCAAGCGGATGGCTTGTTGCATATTCAAGAACTGTTTTAACCGCCCGGTTCCCTACTCGAACATAACGTTCTTCAACGTTCCCAAGGACAGCAGACGCCAGCAGTGGTTGCAGCGTTCCGGAAACGATGAAGTTCAAAATCTACCGTTGACGGCGCGAAGGCTCGTTTGTGAGGCTCACTTCGAAGAACGCCATCTCCGGAAGCAGTTTCATCGGACCACACTCAGTCGAGATGCGGTTCCTGTGAGCTATTGTACCGTATTCCAGCTGAAGAGAGATTCTCAAGCAGGCCAGCAACACCGGAACGACGACGGTGAAGGTCTACAGTTGGAGGAGGTTGAAGCGATTCAAACTGATTTTAGCGTTCAAGAGGTTCCCACCGGAAGGTAAATAGGGCTTTATCGGAGTATTGATCGCCAAATTTGCATCTACATTCGTTTTGCTATTTCCAGTGAAAATGAGGAAATCCAGTATGAAGTGATCGAAACGGAAGAGTACCTACTAGAAGAATTGGAATTGTCGGATGAACTGAACATACTGGGACAGCAGGACACTAGTAAACGGAAGCGCTACGAAACGATCTCAACGCAGACCGATGATCTTGAAAAGCTCGGCCAAAGCCCACCTTCGAAAAAGATCAAATGCGATCGCACAATCAGCCTAACCATCGATCGAGCTACCAATACCGAGCCTCTTGTCACTGAGACCATACCGGTTAAATCTCCCGAAAAGAGCAGCACTATGGAACAGTCCACGCAGACGGACGAGCAAAAACCGCCACTGAATCCGAACACGCAAAAAACTGAAGATGAATATTTTATGCTCTCGCTGCTTGAACCCCTGCAACGGTTGCCACTGGAAAAACGAGCCATCGCGAAGGTCAAGATGTTGACCTATTTGGTGCAGTTGGGGTGTGGCATGGGGGATGTGCAGTTGTAGGAAAGTGTAAGATTTGGGTTTTTAAGGTTTTTAAAGAATATAAAAAAAAAAAAAAATCGAAAACCTCTCCAACGAACGACTTGATTGAAAGAAATGCAGTATAGTACCTAGCCTTATTTGTTAACTTGGTATTTCAACACAATTATTTCGTTGGAGCGAAGATACATATTCATGATGCTGGAAATTGAACATTTTCCAAGATCACAAATTTGAAATAAAGTTCAAGGCTCGTGCAATTCTAGATCTCCATGAGGAGAATACAAGCATAGAGGTAACTCAAGGTAGTTCGGAGTATAACTCCAAGTAAACCCTGGAATAGGATTCAAAGGAAATTTTAATGGTAATTCGTAGGAATTTCTGAGGTTAATTCCTAAGGAATTTTGAGGATTATTGCATAATAATTCTGAGGTGAACTTCAAGGCAATTCAAAGGAGATCCAAGGTAATTCTGATAATAATTTCATTAGGCTTTTGGGATAAAAGGAATCTGGAGCATAAATCCATGGGATACTTAGGGGCTGTGCAGTGTGACCAGTGAACCGGGAAACTGGGAAAATCCATCAATTTTGATGAAAAGACAAGAAAAAATATACTTCGACCACAGACAAACAGACATAAACTAGCAAGTTGTTCATCGAACAAGCATTTAACGGTCAATTCAAAAGAATCGTAGTTGGTAGTACCGCCACCTGTGGCGCGCATAGTAATTTCCCTAGCGTTTGACGTTTACACACTACCGCCGTCTGTTCAGTGTACTACCCACTACAGTGTACCCAACAGATGGCGGTAATGTTTTAGCGACGATATTTTACAGTGAGAAATATTCAATGAGTTATGTCTGTTTGTGCTTCGATTAAACAGAATTAAAATTTTTAAAAATGTAAAAGATCTAGAATTTGATTTTCAGCAAAAAGCCATTTTGAAAAACTATTAAGAGAATTCAAATAGTTTGAGGAGATTTTTAAATAAATTTTTATCCCTAGATACTAAGCTATTTCAGAGAAAATTTACAAGGGAGAACTCTAAGAGAGTTTTGACTAGAACTGCAGGTTAATTGTGTGAGTTCAGATTAATTTTTGTAAAGAAGCTCTGTGGACAATTCTATACCGATACATTGCCATATTTCGCTATCAATTTCGCTCTCACTAAAGAGACTAGAATATACAAATAGGTGCCATCTGATCCCTGTGAAAACAAATAATCTTGCAACAAAGGTAGCCGATGCACGCAAAACTGTTCAAAACTTCGCTTGGGTCCCGTTTGTTGTTATTCGCGAGGAGGGTGACACATCTAAATCTCAATTCTATTTGAGGAAAATTATTCAGTGTTGTTTTTTCTCTGGTGACTCGGTTGGAGTTGGAATCAATTTAAATCAAACGAATTAAACTTTTCATTGCGCATAGATTTTAAGATTATACAAAAAATCAAACAACATTACATTTTACTCGATTCTCATTTTGTTAATAATGTTCAAGATGTTTGTAGAAAGGAAGCTGGTGGAAGAAGTGAGAGCTAAAGAGGCTACAATACACAAAGAGACGCCATGTTCTGTTTGAAATTCGAATTTACCTGCCAATCGAGCACGAGACCTGTCAAGGCAAAAAATATGTTACTGTTATTGGTGGTGATTGAAGAAGTATTGCTATCTGCTTCGTAAAGTTTTTCATGTATTTACAGGTACAATCCAAGGTTTTTGGCGTAAGCTGGTGACTCATGTTAAAGTGTTTTTCACTATTTATCAACAAATTTGGTAAGATTGGTGATTTGCAGATCAAAATTCAACGGCTGTAATCATATCATTGCTGTAGGAATCTTCCGGAAAATGAACGGCTTCGAGAATGGCATCCCCTAGCGATAATGGTGAGGATGAAGATAAGGAGGATGATAGAGAAAACGAAGGCCCGATGGAGAACCCACTTGATGACCCGTTATTCGACGACGTTTAGGTTCTCGACTATAACTGGAGTGAACCCGAAAGTGTTCAAAGCCATAAACTGCCAGGTCCACCTGAACCCGTAACAAATCTCCAGCTTTATTCAACTTTAGACTGTTGGTCTTTCTACACCAATTTAAAAACGAGTCTTCCAGCGCTCATGTTGCACACTGGAATGTGAATGAAAAATCGGTCAGTGAATCTAAAAAGAAATTAAGGCAACTTCGCGAGCCATCCCTATCTACTTCGTGGAGTAATTTTCTACAAGCAAGATGATGGAAGCACGATGGATGGATAAGGATTCTCCGGAAGAAGAAGATTCAGCTTCTGCTGCATGTTTATTCACTGTCAGTAAGTTCCCGTAAGATTTTTAATTCAGGCAAGCAACATTTGATTGACCCATCTGAGCGCGATAAGTCAGGAGCATCCTCGACACAAAAGGTCGCCGATTTATCTAAGGATCTACGCAGCGACATAGTCATCTTTCAGACGGACACGAAATAGCATGGACAATGCGGTCCTCAGCCATACTTGCCTCGCCAGCTCATACGCGTGAGAATATGATTGATTCAGTTCCTCTGCAGCATCTGCAGCAACTGTTCAGAACACTGGAGGTCCGTAAATGAATCGTTTTGTGGTGCAATTACGGCATTCAAGGCAGCGTTGTCCTCGCTTGAAATGGTGGCCAAGAATATGCAGGTGCAAATTGCATTCGTGAAGCAAAGAATCGAAGCATTGGAACAGCGTGGACGCATGGGTGATTCATTCATAAGTGCGATGGAAACTTCAGTTTCCGAAGAAGAGTTCAGTCAACATATTTCAGGACAGTTAGTTGACATGGAGGATGTAGACCAGTGGTGCTCATGCCCATTTTTTGAATAGCTGTATCTTTGTTTGATGGTCATATTTTAGGTAGAATTTTGCGCAATTCCCAATCATTTCGGCCATACATTCGTAATACAAAAATATATTCAAGCTGAGGTTGTAGCATCATAGAGATCAAAGTATCATGTGCGACCCGCGTTCCGCACTTTGACCACCGACAAACCGACATGACACTTAATACTGACTTATGCCTGATGTTGACGACGAGTAAACTACCTTGCAAATGAGATTCGATAACTTGTTTTAACGATATAGATAAAAGACTAAACGAAATTATTTAATAGTTGGAACTTTCCTACATCGATCAAGTTTCATTCGTCTATTTCAATGAAAATATTCTCATAACCATCCACATCCGCAAACGAAGGATTAAATATTACTCTAAGAACTGTCATAAGTGTCACAGGAGTTTGGAGGTTTGTTAGTGGGGAGCATAAAGCCATAGGATACATACGCTAGGAAAACGTTGCTGGCAGATTTATAATTGCAATGGGAATATAATAAGACATAGTGAAAAATGACTAGTAAGTGGACGGGTCTGGGATTGAAGTCTTGACCTTCTGCTCAGCAATCAGAAACGGTAACGACTAAGCTATCGTTAAATAATGTTTCTTATGTTTACAATGTAATTGATTAAGACACATGAGGGAAATGCTTTTGACATTTGAATAATGTACGAGCTTCCTACAATTTCGTCTCAATATTCGTCTAAGTATTTGTGAAAATTACAATAATTGTCGATCTAACGATAGCGCTCGTGGCGAATAGGAGAAATAGGAAAATGATGATGGCCTCAACATTTTGCACGTTGAGGCATAGGAAAGAAATCTTGATAAGCATTTATTACCCGGGAAAAATTTTCGTCATTTTTTTCAAAGCTGCTACGGGGAAGAATCCTCAAAAGCAATCCGATAGACGTATAATTTTAAATTTTTATTTTTTCTTAGTTTTCGTTTAGATCTTTAGATTTAAACTTTTCTAACCTCGTATGCACAACCAAATGTATAGAAAATTCTTTATTCGTTAAATAAAAGCGTTTTTAAAATATTCTCCCATACCTCGCCGTGCAAAATTATGATACCATCATCAGTGTTCTAGTTCTCCGATTTGCCACAAGTGGCGCTTTATGCTATCGTTAGATTGCCAATAATATAAATTACATTTTTCAAACAAACGCCACCCTAATGCGATGCACGTGTGAAGCTACCCCTATCTTTGCGCAAGAAAATCCTTCCCAACGTGTATCGCCTCAAGCCAACAGTTGCGAGAAGACCGACGGAGACGGAGGCCTCTCGAGACCCGAGAGAACAACCGAGCGTTCAGTTATCGTTCCGCTCGCGCACCGTGCTGATGTGTTCTCACGTTAGCTCCCGTGTCGTGGATAGTCGCTGCCCTTTTTCTTTTCCTCGGTAGTACCGTTGTGTGTGCTCTGCTGGTGGACTCTGCTCAGTGTTGTTTCATTGAGGAAGAAAAGAAACGATTCATCGCACACGCACACCTGCAAACCAAAACAATCCCAGTGTTCTTCTGTGTACTATTCCGTGTGTAAGCACACACACGAGTGTGAGTGTGTGCGTTGCCACTCTCGTGGGTTTGGGCGAGCGCCACACGGGTTTTGTGTGTGTGTGGGTGTTGTTACTCGCCGTCGTCGTCCCGTCCCAAGAGAAGAGAAGAACATCATCACCATCATCAATCGTACACGACGGACGGGGAGTAGTAGAGAGATATCAAAATGGCTACTAGTGATGATGAACATTACCATCTCTATGAAGTGTTTCAAAATTGCTTCAACAAAATCGCAAACAAGCAGCCTGGTAAGTGTTGGAGCAAAACCGGAAGTGTCTGGCGCTTCCGCGGGCGATGAAAGTGAAGTTCCAAGTGCGGCGTGAAAGTGGCAAATTGCGAGTGCGTGTTGTCCCTGTCGAGCTTAGGAGGCCTGGAAGTTGGAGATTTTTTTTGTCATCCATATTTTCAATGATTTTTGTTCGGGGGATTGCGTTGGTGTTGGTGCGCGCGCGATCAAGGCGGAGGAAGGTGGTGTTTCAAAGCTCTTCGTTGTGTCTCGTTGCCTACTCTACTACAAGTAGCGTTATTATTATTGTTCGCGGCGGCGGGCAGCGCTCGGCTGTGGATGTATGGGTGCATTCCGCGCGCTGACGATGGTCATTCTCTGGATTTTGCTGTGCTGCCTCCGTTGTGTGGTGTATTGCCGCCGATGTTGTGTGTACAAGTGTATGGTACCTTTATGCGGTTGTGTCAGTGCATGGCAAGCAAAAGAAAAAAAAAACGAAACGAAGCTGAAGAAAAGCCTTTATGTCAAAACCTTCTATAAATATTATGATGGGGCAAGTACTCCAGCGCTGAAACTGATCGTGCTGATGGAACTGGGAAGCTCGTGCTGCAGAATGTGCCGCCGTCTCCCCCCGAAGGATGATCACGAATGGATTGAGTGAATAGGCACACTGAGATTAATTTATTCGGCGATTTTCCAGTGATTGGATTGTGATTGTGTGCAATGAATTGGAAGAACCAAGGTTGCCAGAAGCAAAAGTGTGCATCGTATGGATTATGGCGCGGCGTTCGTCGTAGATCGACTGATATTCGGTATCACTCACTACTAGGCTCTCTATCAGATAAGCAAAACCCAATTTTTATTCTACTGTGTTTTTTCCCCCTGTTATTGATAGTACGAACTCATGATGATTTGTCAAACAAAAAAAAAAACACCTCGCTCGAGTAGAGTGATTAACGCAACAATCACCCACGAATATGTAACATGTGGGATTATTCAACATTGAACAACCAGTTTTCCCTTGTTACATGTTTCCGGCTACATTCTGTATTTATATTGTCAAAACTGGATCTTTGGGCCGGCAGTGGGTGCCGTTTCGATGAACTGGTTCGGTCGATTTCGCAATGTGCGATCTATTAACTATGCAAAAATATTCCGGGAGACGAAATTGAGAGTTTGGACCGGATATTTCATTGGAAATAAGTTCAGCAATTATCTTCGGAGAAGTCCTTTGGTCTGTACTAGATTATTCAGGGTACAGTCACTTTGAAGTACTATTAAGGTAAGGGTTGATGCATGATTTTGTGACAAACAATGCCTCAGGTATCGGAAAAACGTAACGATAGCGGTGGGGGGGGGGGGGTGTTGGGGTTAATTATTTTCTCCATTTAGCGTGACATAATTAATGCATGGGCCCATGATGATGAAAATTTCAAAGGTATTTTGAAAAGATTTTTGAATGAATTCTAGAGATCACAGCAAGTTATTTCAGAGAAAAATTCCGAGGAAGTTTTGGGAAGACCTCTAAGAGACTCCAAGTCAATTGTGTGAGATCAGGGTAGACTTTTTTGGTAGTTCTGTGGAAAATTCCAAGACGATTCGAGGTCAGTTTCCAATTAATATTTAAAATAAGTTCTCTGAAAAATTTTAAGAGCATTCTGATGAGAATTCGCTGCTAAAAATAGCAGGGAAATTGAGTTTTGGGGGTTCAATTCCAGAAGAATCTCGAGAAGAGTTTTATGGAAATTCCGAGGATTGCTCAATAGGCATCTAGAGAAGAATTTCTAAATAAGGAGAATTCCAAGCAAATTTCCTGAAGAATTGATGAGATCTCCAAGCTAATTATGAGCAGATTTGCAAGATAATTCTAAGCTGAATTGCTTGGGAATTCTTTGAAGAATTATGCTTAATTCGAAGAGCAGCTTAGAATAGATTCCAATATTTTTTTGGAGTGTTCTGAACATAATTTATTTACTGTTCTGTTATAACCAATTTTTCAAGGGACTCTCAGATTTATAAAGAAAAATCAAGGGACTCTCAGAGAGAATCTTATCAGTTTTGGAAGGAATCTGTGAAGGGAAATGATTCTGACGGAAATTCTTGAGAACATTCCAAAGAGCAAAGAAATCCTGTAAATCACCGTTTCTTATAAATCCCCCATCTATTAACGGATTGGTAATTATCGTTTATAAGACTATTGATATTGCATGTTGGTTGCATTAACTACTTTAGCAACTGTTCCACAATAAAACACATAACCATTCAACATTTGATCATTTGACACAGACACTCCACTTTCCCATATCACCTCACACCCAAAAATGGAAAAAGTCTGTCCCACCAGGAAAGCAAAAGCCACACCAAACTTGAAGGTTGCAATTTTAATATCAGTCTCTAAAATTACGAATGACCCAAAAAACGAACCGTGACAAAAAATACCCTGCTGCTCTTTTCTGGTTTGGCCCTTTTACCCGCTACCCTCTCTCTCTCTCCTTCTGTCCAACATCTCTCGCCTCTCTCGCATGGTACACACAAAGTGTACGCAATAAGCGCGACTGGAGCTTAAAAATATAATAAAATTTTGAGCTGATATTCTCCGTCTCCTCCCACTGCCTCCTTTCACTTGAGCTACTCTTATTGCAAATCTACCGACTTCAACGACGTCGTCGTCGTCGACGACGACGACTGCAAGAGCCGTATAATTTTATATGTTTTCCTCCTCAAGAAACCGAAGGAAAAAAAAACGTAGCGAAAGCCTCTTTCTACAACATTTCTCGTATTTTTTTACTGCGGCGCGTTTGCTTTGGGTCCTGATTGTGTTCTGCATGTACACCACACTGTATACCTACCGGCAGATAGGGTGACTGATCCTATGTTGGTTTTATTGGGCGACGCTTCAAAAAATATTAGACAAACTGAGGTCTATACTGCTCATAATCGCAGGATTTGCGTCATTTTTAAGATAACAAAGTTATCCACTATGTAATAAACCTACAGACTTTGATCAGGAAAAAAAGGTTAAAACTAACCAACTCAGTTCGTCCCACTCAAGCAAAGTAATCGCATATCAATCCCATCCTGAAATTCAATCGTCCAGAGGTCAAGTTACAGTTCTGCTTTTTGAGTTATCATATGATACAGTAACGACCTGATTTTTTCATCCCTCTTTTTGAAAATCTATTCTAATCTTCTACGAAACCCATGCGTTTTTTCAGTGGTTTCATAGCACCAAAGTATACCTTAAACAACCATCCATGAATGAGAAAGATTTGGAATGAAGGTTTTGTGAAATTATTGAAAGATGATACTCTGCTGCGTGGAGGGGCTGACAAAATCGGTTAAATACTGTATAACCGTCAAGATGGCTGACTTGCACTACCACTTCAAATTTACTAGAAGGCAAATCTCGGACACTATTGACATCGTGCATGAAATTTACACTGCAGCAAACTTGGCGAAGCAATTTTAATATTGTACGTTTTCTGTTGTGCCCCAGAAAATGCCAAGGGATAATGAGATCCACCTAAAAAATTAATTTGAGACCTTATCACCTTTTAAAGGTAAGATCAGTGGCGTCCCGTAACCTCTCTTTTTACCTGTGCACCAACTTTCAAAACCAGATTTAATGCCATCTTCATACTCGAATCGGTTGAAAAATACACTTAATCTTCTAGTTTATTCTATATCTATCCATTGCAAGCAATATGTTGATAATTGTTTAAGTTTTGAGAGTTGGTGCAGTTGGAGGTTAAGGAAACGCCACTGGGTAAGATTGACGCTATAAAGCGTTTTTTTGATAATTTTAAGGCGATCTTGGGTTTTTTTAAAAGCGATTACACTGTGCGACAAACTGGATTTTTTTTTTCGTTTCAGGACAAAAGTATCTTTCCATATTTGATTTTATTGTGGTACCTTGAGTTAAAGTCTAGTATATACTTATGCCCTAACACGTCACGTTGCTTAGGTACTGCTTCCTTTTTAAATTGGGATATTCATTACTCACGATTGTGGCCATTTGCTGCCAACCTAAGCAGGTGGCATTATTGTTGTGCAAGGACTTTTTGAAGAAAATTACTCAAGGAATATTTGTTTAGAACATTTCAACACGCCATCTCGATGTTTCATCCATGATGATACTTCTAATACTCGGTGTGCGGTGTCTTTCAGAACGCGGACCACCTCCGTGTTGCAAGCGCGCTGATCTCATACACACCTGTGAGGTGGTAAGTCTCATCAAAGCAACGATATCGATATAAAACGTGACGTGACAGGGCAAAAGTGTACTCTAAACTTTATCTCAGGAAACCATAACAAAATCAAACATGGCAAACATTTACTGTCCTGATATTTTTAGGCAATAGGATCTTTGAATTCATTTTGGTGTTTTGCAACTATATTATTGTTTTATATCAATCAATAGTCAGCACTATAACGGCGCCGGTGGTGTAGTGGTAAGCGTGATTACCTCTCACCCCAGCAGGCCTGGGTTCAATCCCAGTCGGCGCCGCCGGGATGTTCTGAGGCATAACATTTCTGATCACGCCTTCCTTCGGATGGGAAGTAAAGCCGTTGGTCCCCGGTTCATGAGTTGATGGGTCGATAGGTAGGGTCCAGGTGTGAGAGCTGCCTTCCTGGCACGTCGGTAGCATTGGTGCTCAGCACGGAAAACAAGATCGACGGAAAAAACAAACCAAAGGAAAAAAAAATAGTCAGCACTTGTTTAAGCTTCTCCGTGTGTCAATTGTTCTCGTCCGTATGTTTTCTTGATAATTTATATATTGAAAAACAATTAAAATACTATTGATTTCAAACATTTTTTTTCAAAAATAGTTTTCGATAATTTTAAACTGTTTTCATCTTTCGTTCAAGAACTTTTTTCAAAAACAGATTTTCCCATCTCAAAACAACGAAACACTTGCTAGGAAGGAAAGGGTTTCTGTAATTTAAGGGGTTCTAAAGCATCAAGGTTATCGGTGCCGGTGGTTTAGTGGTAAGCGTGATTGCCTCTCACCCCAAAAGGGC